TTTTTTTATTGATATACCTGAACTGGCGGCTCCTCTCTTAGTATGTTCTCGTCTGAATAAGGCAGCTCAAGGCGATTCTGCTTAAAAATACTCATCACCAAGAATATCACATTTGGAACGTAATACCGTTGCATGCGACAATTCTTGTCCTTCCACCAAAGCCGATCTTCTTGTTCTCGCCCTCTTTGCTACACTCGCAAGACGTTCTGCCCTTTCCTTTTTGTTCTCAGCTGATCTTTTCAATCTAGCCTTCTCTGCCCGAGATGCAAGTCGTAGTTCTCGTTCATGTTCCATTTCATTGGATGTTCTCAAGCCCATTCGACTCGCATCAGTCGCAGGACGGGACTGATGACTTTCAACATCACCTTCAAGTCTTTGACCCGCACGCTCAGGACTGTCACGTCGCTGTGCTTCCCCATTATACTCTTCTGAGCAAATCAGAACTTCGTGTGTGAGCAGGTCCTTATCGTCTGAGCGTACTACTTGATCTCCGGTTTGCACGTTCAAATCAAACTAAATTATAATCTTACAGAAGATTCAAGCAACTAAGTGTAAGCTGACCACTGATTCGTCTTCATTCAAAACAGCTTCACTGAGACCTACGGTCTGCGAAAGAGCTGACTGATGATTTTCCTACACCAAAAATTATAGAATTAAATACAATTTGGAACTATTTCCTTACCGATGCCTCAGATTCATACACGCGAGAAGTACTCGGAACTTGACTGTACGCAAAACCTTCGCTTTGTTGAGGGACACCTTCAGCGCGGTAAGCTTCCTCAATCCCATCGCCTTTCAAATTAGTACTTGCAGATGTGGATGTATACGCAGCTACCATTTTGTCACCCATTGGTAGTAAACGTCGCGGATTTCCACACTCTTTCACCCTCATCCTTCTTGTTCTATCACTCACTGCAGCTCGTTGTAGGCGGATTGCTCTTTCCTCTTCAGATTCGGTTGATCTTTTCAGCCTAGCTCTCATGGCTAGCCCTGCAAGCCGATGCTTGCGCTCCTCTTCAGTCTCGTTAATTCTCCTGTCTGCTTTGCGTTTCGCATCCGCCGCTAGACGTAGTCGGCGTTTATCAATATTGCCTTCAGGAGTTTCAGATGGTCGCTCAGCATAATCGTAACTATTTGCTTCTGCGCTCGTGCTTGATGTGCACGTCTCTGGGTCTCCCGCATCCGAGTTCTCCCGGCGTACTCTACTTGCTAAGCTCGATGCAAGCTAAAAGCACTGGTGTGATTTTTTTGCAAATTCACGCAGAAAGTTCTCGATGATTTTCAAACGTTTACCATTTTGTTCTCAGTTTCATCGGCGTGACTTTCTGCTGAATCTTGTTCCAAATTTGGTGCTGCACTTTCAACTCCACTTGGGAGGAGGTGCAGGTTCATCTGAAGCAGTGTCCGATAACATCTGCAGTATTCGGCAAG